CCTTGGGTTCCCTGGGGGATCTGGGTCGCCAGAGAAGTTGTCGGAGGGTTCGTAATCTGTTCCATCTTGAAATGTGATGCCTCGTCCTCCTCTGGTTGGCTGCATTCGTGCACCTCGCTGGGGCCCGCTTTGTACGCTTCCAGCGCTTGTGGGTCGATCCATGGCAGTGGCGGTGGTCTGATTGTGGCTTTGCTGTAGTCCATGAGGAAGCCTTTGAGGGAGGTGTTGTTGGCCTGTGGACAACCCAAATTGGTTGAAGATGTCACGTAGCTCTTCCAACGTATACGTCTTGACACTTAAAGGATATGTCTACCGTGGACATGTTGTTGATGCACTTGGCTGTTCGTCCTAGCTCAACAATGCCGCAGTTTGACGCCGCAAATTATCTCACGCGACAAAAAAGAGGGCACACTCTTGAGCTATCAATAATCACATCATGCACATTCTCATACAATAACCCAACTATGATGTAAGCTCGGACAAAACAATCCAGAGCTAACTAATTCGTTCACCGTACTGATGCCACCTCCCCGTCCTCAGAATCGGGGCGACTTTGTTGTCGATGCGATGTTGAGGGCTGTGGCGGCGGCGTCAGCATAGTGGACATATTGGCCATTAGACGTAGGAGTGTGACAGTCGGTGGCGTTCAGAGATCCAATTAAACATCTACAGGGGTTATCGTGGATGTGCACAGTTCACTGACGCCGCCGTCGCCTCTCCGTGGTGGAGTTATATAGTAACTCAGATTTATACGGTTAACCCTTAGGTACTTCGAAGTAGGACTTATTGCTCCCACCGGTAGGTTTTATAGGGTCTCAATAAATCCAAATATAAATCTGACCACAAGTTCAATAATACTTCGAAGTACTACGTAGTAAAAAGGTAGGAAACTATACTTGGAACCAATTTTTCATTTTGCTAAAAATATCTACTTGGAACAGGCCCTAATAGTACGACTTTTTCGCCTCGATTTGTTAATCCGATTCTTAATAATATCATTCTTTATAATCCAATGCAGTTTTAGCATAGTAAAATGAAGTTCCATCACTCACACAAAATACACTGGGTTTGTCTGGTAACATTTCTTCAACGAGTAAATCCCACGTGGAATTATTGGATTTGGGTTAAACGTATTCCAGCAAGACATGTTTCAATTTTGATCAGATTTGTTGAATTCGGCCCCAAAATGGCGTTTTGGGCCTGAATATTGCAATATTTCCCGTTACCAGACGAACCCTAAAATTACCATTTTATTGAACTCCAAGCACAATGTCGACGCGGCGGAGCAACGATCTAGAGAATGACCAACATTATCAACACCCCCCTACATTGTGTAATGGGGAGTGATCGGCTTCTGATTTGCCATTTTTATTCTTCTGGGGTGGCATGATCTTGGTGATCTTGTTCTTCACACAGCAGTCGCACTTCGTTGGTGGTTGGCGCAAGTTGTTGGGAGTTATGGCGCCGCAACGGTTGACGGCGGCTGTGGTGAAGTGTTCCACCCGTTGGTGCCAGAGATCTGATATCTCATTCATAAGCGTTCTTGTCTTGTTGGCGCGTGGGCCGCAAAGTTGCACCGCTCGTGGGTGTCTGCTTGACCGAGGACATACACATTGTTTTTGGTATCCAGCGTGGCGGTGGCGATTGTGGTGCATGATACTGCACGTCATGTCGTCGAAGGTGACTGAGAAGTTGCGGTTGGCTCTCATCATAACCGTAACGGATAGAAACGTAGATGGCATGTTGTCGATGAGGAGCACGTCAGGCATGACAAGCGTTGTCCCTTCGCTGGTGCTATACTTCGCCATCTTCGTTGAAGATGGCGAAGTATATCAAGCGTAAACCTTGCCTTGTTCTAAAACCACATCACAAAAAGAAATTTACTCCAAGCGCGTCAGTGGCGGGGAAAGCGTTATGATATGGACCGGGATTAGCGCTGACGGCCGAACCGAGCTGGTCTTTTTGGATGGGAGACAAGACTCAGCAAAGTACTGGCAAACGTTGGACTGCTCGGGAATCTACGGTAACGTCATGGTGTTTTGAGGCCGATATTTCAACAAGATAACGCCTCTATCCACGTTTCGCGACGTACGAAGGCGCACATCGACGCTAACGATATTGAAGTCATGGAGTGGCTCGCAAAGAGCCCTGATCTCAACCCTATTGAGAACGTTTGGGGGCAACTGGCCTTTTTGGTGTACCAATGTGGACGTCAGTATGAGTTAGTCGGTGAATTGAAGGCCCAAATATGTGCTTCTTAGGACCTACTTACCCAAGAATACTTGCGTCAACAGGTCGATGGTATGCCAACTAGAATGGCACAGGTCATCCTTCGGAATGGTGCAGCAATTTATAAATAACTACTACAGTAGTACCAATTTGGAAGTGCATCTATAGTTTTTCACACCCTAAAAACTGAACATTTGTCGACTTTCAAATAATACAATCGATTGAATGAACATATCCTGGGGATATATATATTCTTCGTTCAAGATTTCTTGAGCAAAACGCCAAATTGTTCACTTAAGTACGTGATGTGATGTCGATGAAAGATAGGATGCATCTATAGTTTTGAGCAGCACTGTACGCGCATCGTACCCATCTTGGTTGCGTGGGTCTTTGGATTTCCGAGCACGCCTTAGAATGGATCGATTTCGAGCAAATTAGTCCAGAGAGACACTTTCCGAGCGCACTTGATAGGCACAAGAACATGTGTTAGTCATTGGTGAATTTCCGAGCAAATATTGATACATATTTACCCATTTACGAAACAAGATCAACACTCCGATAGTGAAGTTTATACTTTATTTTGAAAGAGAATGATGGTTACGAAACAAACACGAAACAACTTATCCGGAACGATTAGGAGCTAGCTTAGGCCAGGGCCGGGAACCAGGCCCGTTCGCCCGCGCAGCGACTCAGTATCACAGCAATGATCTATATAATCCTTGGGAGCACCGGAGGCCGGGAGCGAAGCGAACCAGGCCGAGGAGCCCCCCCTTATTTACCGGTTAATTAACCGGATGTTTCGTTAGTCCTTGGTATTGTGCTTTTCACATATTTTGGCTAATCTGGGTATAAATACCCGCTTTGAACCAGTGGGTGACGAAGTTTTAGATTAATTCAACTTAGTTTTAGCTAATCGGAAGTACCTATGATTGGATGAGCAAGAGCTGTTCCTGCAGCATATGTTGCTAACCTGAAGCGTTTGCCCATTTCATTTCGGCAAACGCGGGGGTTTACAGAGTGGATTACCTAATACACGCGAGTGTGTCACGGTGCGACTGCGGGGTCCATGACCCTGCCGAGACTGCGAAGCCAGACGAGGCCCTGATTGACCCTCTGACCTCCCTGAAGACCGCGTTGCCTTTCCCGTTCTGGCTAGACCTCCCAGACCTTATATACCTCCCAAACTCGATGACCAGGACCGTCATCGGGTGTCGAAGATCTACCAAGACGGAGATCCCTCAACCGTCAACCACCGATGCAGTAGAACTTAGAGCATTAGGACTACAGCCACGACCACACCTTTAACTAACTCGACTTTACATATTTGCCTCGAACTTCACACCTGGGTTTGAGTCTCCTTGTTTGCCTGCGCCGCGCCTACCCATCAACTTGTCGTAAAACCCCGCGACATTCTGGTGGAGCAGCAGGGTAGGCGTTTGCAACGGAATCAAGGAAGAAATG